GAACTTTGTGCGTGTCTGTTATTTCAAGATTAAGGACCATAGGCGAACATATTCCTCCAAATCACAGGGAATAAATATAGAATACCTTTGTTCCTTATTGCCTCAGAGAGGCTGTCATTCCAGGGCCATTCCTTAGAAGGAGACATCTTATCCTCGCATCTTCATTCTCATTTCCCTGACAGCCCTCAGGTGGGTTCTGCCTGTCCCCTACTTCAGTGAGTCTGCCTTGACGTTACCAAAAGCAATTTAGCACAGAGACGTTTCACTTAAGCCACATATTGCCCTTTTACATAGTTTCAGAAGGTTTGCAGGTGACAGATAGTCTCACACACAAGGTGTAAATACAAGTAATGCAGAAAACGAGTCCATCTCTAGAGGAAGAGTAAGTTAGAGAGGTACACTTCGCCTCTGTAAACAGTGTACAGTGTGCTTGGATGGTGGCGGGGTTGGCTGTAAGAAGTTCCGATGACAGGTATGCCATGTCGAGAAGAAACATGCTGTTTTCCAGATGGACTGAGTGATGGCATGATGTGTCTGTTCTCCAGGATAGCTCGGCACAGGAGAAAATGCTGTTTTCCAGATGGACTGAGTGATTGCATGATGTGTCTGTTCTCCAAGATAGCTCGGCACACACAGCGGATGATGTGATCCAAAAATCAGATATTGTGTCCTAGGTCGTTTTCTACCGTCTAGGAGAGCTGACAGCAGTGTGCATGATGGAAAACTGTAGAGCCCCCTAAGCCTTTTCTCAGGAAGTGACTGATCTGGAATTGTGACTGTTCACGCTGGAGGGGATTTCTGTATTTAGCCTGAGAACACACAGTGTTCTGCTGCCCTCTGTCAATAATGAAAGCAGTCTTCCTTCTGAGTTGTAATCTCGATGCTGTCACTACCAACTGCTCCTTTGCCTTAGACAGGCCGTATGAAGAACACAGTGCTGAGTTCTTTGGTGATACTCTCCTGCCTCAGGGCCACATCATGCTTTCTAGGCCCATCCTCCTATAAACCTCACTTCTGAAAGGTAGCTATTTTGGCTTCCTTTCTTAACCTAACTACTGACACTCCATTAGCAATTTTGTCTTTGTTCCCCATATCCACTGAGAGCTCTTACTCCACCCTCATGATGCTCTGTCTAGAGCAGTGGTTCCCAGCCTCCCCAGTGCTGCAACTCTTTAATACAGTTTCTCATGTTGCAGGGACCCCACAGCCGCAACATTATTTTATTGCTGCTTCATAAGAGTAATGTTTGCTACTGTAAGAATCGAAATGTAAATATCCGATATGTGACCACCTCCCAACGGGCTTGCAACCCACAGGTTGAGAATGGCGGCTGGTCTAGAGTTTCACATGGGTGAAAACCTGCAGGCTTTTTCTTTCCTTCTAGGGACCTACTTCAATTCATATAATTTACCCTTTTGGTTTTAATTACAAAGATCTTGTAATTGTTTTTCAGCAAAATAAAATTCCACCATGTAACTTTATTCCATTTTCTTTTCTGATGCCGGGCATCTAGGCTGGGTTCATTTCTTATCCCCTTTGAATAGTGTAGCAATAAACCTGTACGTCTCTCCTTGGTAGGAATTGAGAGCTGTGTCTACTGCTCACTCTTGGTGTGGTGGTTCCGATTTGGGGTTTTGAAAACTCCAAAGTGAGTTCAACTGTTTGTACTGGTTCATAGGCTCTTGAGGAGTGAATAAGGATTCCACTTTTCCGTTTCCTTGACTGCTTTTTTTGCCATTGTTTTTCTTTTCCTTTGGTGTTTTTTTGAGACAGTCTCACTGTGTAGTTCTTTCTAGTGGGCCTGGAACTCATTGTGTAGACCAGGCTGGCACTGAGTCACGGAAATCCACCTGCCTTTTGATCTGGAATAAAAGGAGCCAAGGCATCCCCACTGCTCCTTCTCCTCCACCTTAGCCATTCCGAATTAGGGGGCGAAGGAGTATCAGCTGGTTGTGAGTTTGTAATCACATCATGGAGTTTTCTGCATGCCAAGTGGTAGATGGCCAACAGAAAATGAACTCATTGGCTTCTTTGGAGGATCCTCTTTCTCACAAGGTTGTGTCAGGATTGTTGTATTATTTTTTATTTTATTTCTCTCTTTTTACCCTACAGGTCTTTTGTGTATGTATCATGGCTTCCAGTTTAGAGGTTTTATGAGATGGCCGAGTGTGGGAACTAGTGGGTCTCTGAATTTTATTGTTATTTGATGGGGGAAGTCCTGTACATTTGTCAATAAAGTACTGTTGAGCCAATAGGAATCTAGATAGGTAGGACTAGGAGTCCAGGAGGACTCGGGGAAGGAGAAACACAGAGAGTCAACATGTAACGCCATGGGGTAGGAAGCCCGGAACTATTCTCTGGTAAGAGAAATATTTAGATTAACAATTATGGGGTAATTACTTAAGTCAGAGCTAGCCAGTAAGAAACAAGCAAAGGCCAACAGCTTCATAATTAATATAGCCTCCTGTGTGTTTATTTGGGACTGATGCAGCTCTAGAACCAGGACGGCAGGAAGGCTTCTCTCAAGGAAAAAGTTTCTCTTTACAGTTATTCCTTAGAAGCCTGTTTTCTAATGAGAGACAGAAAGGGGATAGATTCAGTGGGGGGAGAAACTGGGAGGAGTAGACGGAGGGCAAACTGAAATCAGGATACATTATGGGAGAAAAAAAATCTGTTTTCTTTTGGTTTGTTTTTTTACTTTTGTTTTCGAGACAGGGTTTCTCTGTAGCTTTGGAGCCTGTCCTGGAACTCAATCTGTAGACCAGGCTGGTCTGGAACTCACAGAGACCCTCCTGCCTCTGCCTCCTGAGTGCTGGGACTAAAGGTGTGAGCCACCACCGTATGTCTAAAAACTCTAAATTCAATAAAAGGAAAAAAACAAAAAGCCCGCTTGTTGCTCTTACAGAGGACCTGGATTTGTTTCCCCAAACCTACAAGGTAGCTCATAACTGTTTCCAGTTCCAGCACATCAAATGCACTCTGATAGCTGGGCAGCGTGGCACCTGTCTTTAATCCCAGCACTTTGGGAGGCAGCGGCAGGCAAATCTCCGTGAGTTCAAGGCCAGCATGGTCTACAGAGCAGTTCCAAGACAGGCTGCAAAGCTACACAGAAAAACCCTGTCTTGAAAAACCAAAAATAAACAAATAAAGTAACAGTCATTAAAAGAAAAAGCACAAAAAGCAAATGTGTATATGTATCCACTTTATTTATTTATTTATTTGTTTGTTTGTTTGTTTATTTTTTAGATTACTCAATAAGATGGACAAATTGTGGCACACACTATTAATCTCAGCCCTCGGGAGGCAGAACTGCCCAGCCTGTTCAATTTTTTACATGTTTGTTTATGTGCACAACCTTTCTGTCTGTATCACTTGGATTGGTTTTATAATTTGAAGTCAGGTCCTGTGATACCCCCAGGATTATTCCAAGGATTAATCTGGATTTTGATATTTTTTACTTTCTTGTTTCCATATAACTTAAAAAGTGTTTTCTACTTTTGTGCAAAATGTCAGTATGCTGCACATGGGGATTGCATAGACTCTGCAGACTACAGTTGTTAGTAATATAGCCATTTACCCTGTGTCATTTTTCACAATGAATGTTCATAAAAGTTCATTTTCTTCTTCACTGCCCTAAATTTTCTTCATATATGTTAATTATGTTTTTATTTGGGTTTACTCCTAGGTCTTGTTTGGTTGGTTAATTGGTTTGGTTTGGGTTTTTTTGAGACAGGGTTTCTTTATGTAGCCCTGGCTGTCCTGGACCTCACCCTGTAGCCCTGGCTGTCCTGGAACTCACAAGAGATTCACCTGCCTGTGCCTCCCGAGTGCTGAGATTAAAGACGTGTGCCAGCACCGACTAGCTATTCCTAAGTCTTCTTAAAGCTACATGAATGCATTACTTTCCTACTTTGTTTCTCAACATCCCATTATCGACACATAGATAAAGGAGCGATGTTTCTATTTTAATTATGTATTTGTCAATATTTCGTGAAACGTTTATCATGTCTAAGAGTTTCCTGTGGTGTCGGTAGGAGGTTTTGTGTGTATGACCAGATCATCCTTTTCTAGCTGTACCATCTTCTGTTTCTTCATTCTTTATTGTTTTTTCAAATTTCTCAGGTTGCTCTTGCAATTCTTTATTATGTAAGAGTGCAGAGCACATACATCTTGTTACCGTTTTTGAAGTAATGCTGTTCAGTTTTGTTTGTTTGCTTTTTTTTTCCTCTGTAATGGTGGCCTAGGATTGACAATGTGCACCTCTCATTGTGTTGAGCTGGGTTCCATTTATTCCTAGTTTTCGTTTGTTTGTTTTGTTTTCCAAATCAGAGCTTCTCTGTGTAGCCATTGTTGTCCTGGAACTCACTCGGTAGAGCAGGGTGGCCTCAGTCTCGTAGAGATCTGCCTGCCTCTACCTCCTGAGTGTTGGAATTAAAGGCGTGTGCCTTTAGTGCCCAGCCCTAGTTCTTCTAGAAGTTTTACCATGAGGTTTTATTGAACGTTGTCCGATGACATTTCCATGTTCTACTGAGAATTTTACCATGTGGTTTTTATTCCTGTAATATTTTTGATGTGGCTAGTTGGATTGTAGGTAGTATTTTTGTTCCTTTCTTGTTAGAATTGGTAGTCATCTATTCCTGACATAAAATGTCTTATTTCTGGTGTTCTCATGCATAATTTTTTTGACAGATCTGTGTATATTTCGCCTCTAATTATCTGCAGTCCTGCTTGAGTGGAATGGCATACATTAACTCATGACTATCTTCAAATGCATTTCTCTGTCAATTTTAAGCGATAATTTTTCTGGCTGCAATAACATGACTGACAATTATTTTCTTTCAGGTATTTAAATGCATTTTTCCATTCTCGCCTTGATTTAGAACCGTTGACGAGACATCTGGTATTATCCTGGTTTTGGGTCTTTTATGTGGTTTGATGTTGTTTCTTAACAGAGTTTAATATTCATTTTTGTCTTGCATTTCTGACACCTGATACTAAAGAGCAAGAAGGGGTTCTGAAGCAGAAAGTCAGAGCAGGACAACAAGAAGAATGACCACTCCTCCAGCAAATACATCAAGTACATCGCAGGTCAGTGTCATGGTCACTTTTTTTTTTTGAGAATTGTTATATATTAAAATCTTGTGTGGTGTTTTGACTAGGAGTGGGTGCTTGACCCATAGGCAGTGTCGCTGTTAGGAGGTGGGTGTGGCATTGTTGGAGTAGGTGTGACCTTGTTGGAGGAACTTGCCACTATGGCTATAGTTGTTGAGTTCTCAGATGCTCAGGCTAAGCCCTAGTGTCATGGCCCTTCCGCTGCCTGTGGATCAAGGTGTAGACTTTTCAGACCGCTCAGCTCCTTCTCCAGCGCCGTGTCTGCCTGCCTGCTGCCGTGTTTCCTGCCACTGCAACAATGGCCTAGACCTCTAACACTGTGCGCCAGCCCCAGTGAAACGTTTTCTTTTATAAGAATTGCCTTGCTCATCGTGTCTCTTGACAGCCGTAGAAACCCCAGCTAAGACACTTTGCAAGCCTTGTGCATTCTCTGCTTCTGATAGTGTCATCTGAAGTGTTTGTTTCCCATGAGTTCATTTTTCTTCCAGCATTCAAGATTTACTCTTTAAATACACGTCTGCAGCCGGGTGGTGGTGGCACACGCCTTTAATCCCAGCACTTGGGAGGCAGAGGCAGGTGGACCTCTGGGAGTTCAAGACCAGCCTGGTCTACAAGAGCTAGTTCCAGGACAGCCCCCAAAGCCACAGAGAAACCCTGTCTGGAAAAACAACAAAAATAAATAAATACATGTCTACTGTGTACCACAGCCTTTTCTCCATTCAGTCATCTCCAGACTCTTTGTGTGAGGGCAAATATTCACAATGAAAATAAGACCTCCATTTCCATTGTGACAGATGTTCAAACAAATGTGGTGTTGTTCAGTTGCTGTAAAGGATGGGTTTGTGTACTTACATGTTAGTTAGTAAGGCCATACAGGTTCCATTTGAGTGATGGATCAGGTTTCTTGAACTAGGCTTATGAAAGTACACATTCAAACACCTTGAGTTCCTTGCTAAAATCTCTGATACTTTTTTTGGAAAAAGAGTTTGAAGACGTGCTATTAGGATCCTGATCATATTGGATCCTGATGCTAAATATTTAAACACTCGGGAGAGTGCTGAAGATGGCAGGCCTTGATCATGTCGTGCAATTGGTATTTCTGTCGGGAGATGCACATTGCTGGCTGTCGTTTCCCTCTTGGCACTTGATATCACAGTGATGGTGTGCCTGTGTTCACAGCTGACATCTGTTTGTCTCGGGGGAGCGAGCTCGTTCCAGCTCACACCATTCTCTCAATTCCAGTGCTCAGGGGAACTTCCCAAACCAGAAAAATGAGTAGTTTCTGTTTGTCCTTTGTTTGCTGAACCATGATGTAGCTCCTCCTGATTGTGAGTCTTTATGTGACATCATGTCGACCATGCCAGTAAGAGTTTTCTTGAGAGTACTGAGTGATGTCCATAAGCCATCACATTTCGTGCAGAAATGAAGGTTCCTCTTAATTACTCTGCTCTGGTCTTTTCCTTTGGAGGAGAAAGACTCCCCCACCACTTCCTTTTTCTCTTTTGCTGAAGCTACTGTTTTTAATAGTTGGAGATTATGAGAAAAGGCTGTAATAGACACATTTACTTCCTTTTTGAGGGGAGTGGGGCTTCGGGACAGGTTTTCACTGTGTAGCCCTGGCTGACCTGGAATTCACTTTGTAGACCAGGCTGGCCTCGAACTCATAGAGATCCTCCTGCCTCTGCATCCCAAGTGCTAGATTAAAGACTTGTGCCACCCCCACCTGGCTAAATATCTAAGTTTTAATGTTTTCATTTACTTATTTTATTTTGTGCACATGAGTGTTTGCCTGCATGTGTGTGTGTTTGGTGCCCAGAAGGGGGCTCCAGATGGCTTGAAACAAGAGTCAGGTTGCAGTGGGCAGCCATGTGTGTGCTGGGAACTGAACCAGCTTCCTCTGCAAGACTAGCAAGTGTTCTGAAGCAATAAGCCATCTCTCTAGCGCCCAGGTTTCAATTTCTCTTGTACATTCATTGCAGAGCCAATATATAACATTGCATCTTGTATTTTCTGAAAGATGAAGGAAGAACATAAGTGGTGCTTGGCTGTATAACACATACAATGCAGCTCCAATACATAACATAAATCAAAACTTTGAAGGTATCAGGTGCAAGTTTTCTTTTGAGTCCCTTTTGTGGGCAATAACATAATTGAAAAGCAGTGAAGAATTAGGTATGTTTTCACTTGATATAATTCATTCCTTCCACTCACAGAAAATCTTTAAACTTCTAGAATTATTACTTGTCTGTGTTGGGTTGTACATTTAGAAAAAAATTAAATGATATCAACTGTAACGAATGCTGATTTTTCTATTTGCTTCATGATTACCAATGTATTCAGCAGAATATATATCCTCATAGACTATATGATTTCATGTGTTAACGTTTAGAATACTGGCAGTATTGACTGCTGTTACTCTTTACTGTGTAAAAAATCAAAACTCAGCCGGGCAGTGATGGCTGGCGCAAGCCTTTAATCCCAGGACTCAGGAGGCAGAGGCATGTGGATCTCTGTGAGTTCCAGGACGAACCTGGTCTATAGAGCCAGTTCCAGGAGATACTCCAAAGCTACATTGAGAAACCCTGTCTCATAAACAAAAAGAAATTTAAAACTCAAAGTTCAAACTCACCGATGATTTCTGCCTTCCCTGTTCTTCCTCTTTATTACACAAAGGAAGCAGGCAGCACTGAACCTGAGCCATAGCGTCTCAACTGAGGGTGTTAGAATCCAGTCAGGTGAGGTCCAGCTGCAGGCAAGACTTAGTGTCCATATTGTAGCAAGGCCAAGAGTTGTAGCATTCAGAGACACAGTTTTGCTCATCACAACCTTTCTGTCTGAGATGTGACACTGTGATCCCATGTGACTTAAACAACTACTTCATAAACAGTAGATTTCTAATTCTAAACCTTAAATTTTATTTATATATTTTATTATTTTTATTATTATTGTTACAGGGTTTCTTTGTGAAACAACCCTAGCTGTCCTGGAACTAGCTCTGTAGACTCCAACTTGAAGAGATCTACCTGCCTCTGCCTCCCGAGTGCTGGGATTAATGTTGTGAATCAACCACAGCCTGGCTAAATTTTTATCTTATATTCCCTAAAAGTGTATCATTTATGAGACTATTATGTCATCCTCTTTCAGTGTTGTGTGACAGACTGGGGAGATACACACACACACACACACACACACACACACACACACACACACACACACACACGTACGTGCACGTGGCTATTCACCAACGTGGTGAGCCAGTGAATTTTATCGGAGTTGTTTGCAGTTTGCAGGAGCAGACATAACTCAGACAGCTGCATCATCAAAGCCCGTCCCCCACCGTGGGTGACGTCTCACAAATCCTGGAGACCCGGAGCACACTGCATTGCTTGCCAGCAGTGCAGCAGGCTGTCGGGTGTCCTTTCCTGGTGACTCATTTGGTCAGAGCCTCTTCTAGGCAGATCAACTAGGGCTGCCAGGCTGGTCTCTGCTTTTTATGTGCGCGTTTGTGTGTGTGTGTGTGTGGGGGGGGGTGCTGTGCCTGTGCTATCTGAGAGTCTTCTTTGCAGCTTGGCTTACAAAGTCAGAGAATGACTTTCATTGGTCTTTGCTGTTCATATACTCTCTGGGAGGGAAGGAGGGATCTAAGGAATTTGGTCAGTTTCAGTGATAGTTGTGAGTTGCTTACTTTCTGTTCTAATGAGATTTTCTGCAGGACAGAATGTGTGAAACTCTCGGGAAACCATTAAATTTTATTTTTATTTTATATGTATGGGTGTTTCAGTGCTCTTCCAGAGGTCCTGAGTTCAATTTCCCATAACCACATTGTGGTTCACAACCATCTGTAATGAGATCTAGTGTCCTCTTCTGGCATGGAGGCAGAACACTGTATATATAATAAATAAATCTTATAAAAATTATTTTCCTGCCTTATCTACATCACCAAAATGTTCCTAGGTCCATATACCTCTTTTTTCTAGGAAAGCATTCTGCCCAGGAACATGTGGTAAATAAACTCTTAAATATCCCTTACAGGGTCTGCTAACATTTGGGGATGTGGCTTTGGACTTCTCCCAGGAGGAGTGGGAATGCCTGGACTCTTCTCAGAGAGCTTTGTACATTGATGTCATGTTGGAGAATTACAGCAACCTGGTCTCTGTGGGTGAGAACATTTTGCTTGCAGAATTCCATCTTTTGTGTTTCCCTAGTTTATAGGTGTATACATTCCCTGAGGCTGTCTAGAAATTACAGGAAATTAGAGAAATTCTGGCAAAACAAAAAAACAAAAACAAAAAACAAAAAAACCCAAGCAAACAAAAAACCCAAAACTTTTTCATGGAATTTCCTTTTCATTTCCCTAAGTGAAATAACAAACGCTCTTAACTGCTGACCGTCTGTCCTGCTCTCTCACCAAGTTTTTAATGAAATATTTAAAGTTAAAATGAAGTTGAATGTGTGGAGCAGAGATATGCAATGCAATACACTTAGTGAGCTGAATTGTTTCATTTTAGTGTTACATTAATCTATGCTTTTGCCAGGAGGTAGTGGCACATGCCTGTAATCCCAGCACTCTGAAAGCGGAAGCAGGTGGATCTCTGTTAGTTTGAGGCCAGCCTAGTCTACAGAGTGAGTTCCAGGATAGCCATGACTGTTTCACAGAGAAACCCTGTCTCAAAACAAAACAAAGTGATGACAACAACAAAATCTATTCTTCCACTATTTCTAGGGTGAAAGGACAGTTTAAAAAGAGAACAGTATTTTAAGTATAATCCTTCAGAGAGCTCTTTTCCCAAAGTCATTTATTTTTACATCATCTATTCATCCCGCCTTCTGCTAGTAATGCAGTTTAGATAAGAATGAGAATTCTGTTGTCAGTCCTGACAGTGGGATGGAGGTCGGAATGGAGGTTTTGAACATTCATACAGTGATAGTGAAAGTATAGAACCCTCCACTAAGGTCCCACTCTAAATAATTTTACTTGTCTTAGGGAACTTAAAGCAACATCAGCTATTAAATCTATTACTCATGAGTCAATCCCCATTATCCCTAATTGTGCTTATTCCCTAGAGAACCATGGCATGCGTGGTAAACCCAAGAAGGTCTTGAATCAAGACTCAAGCCATAATGTCCATCAACATGGGAATACCCAAGAGAATTCTTACAAATCTAATCAGCTTGACAAAACAATTCCTGAACCCTCCCAGAGTACGCCTTGTGATACAAGTGGTACTGCAAAAAGTGACATCAACTGTACACGTGGTAACCACGGGGATGCCTCTACTGAATCGTCAAACCTAAGTGTGCGCACTGGAGAAGACCTTGCTAAACAGAAAGACTGTGACAACTATTTATGTTCCAGTGTGAGTCTAAATCAGAGTATCCACACCATAAACATAGAGCACGGGTATGCGGAAAGTGATCAACTCTTGGATTCTGCACACGGACTTGAGCAGCAAGGAGTTGATAGTGGAGATAAAGCCCAGAATAGTGGGAAGGGCTTCGGGAGCTGCTCAAGCCTAGGTACACAGGAGAGACCTCATACTGGAGAGAAACCATGGAAATGTAAAGAATGTGGGAAGTCCTTTAAGTGGTTATCTCTCCTTAAAACCCATTACAGGATCCATACTGGAGAGAAACCTTACAAATGTGACGAATGTGATAAGGGCTTTACTCGGTTATCTAGACTTAAACACCATTACAGAATCCATACTGGAGATAAACCTTACAAATGTGACGATTGTGATAAGTGCTTTTCTCGAGGCTCTAGACTTAAAAACCATTGCAGAATCCATACTGGAGAGAGACCTTACAAATGTAAGGACTGTGGCAAAACCTTTTCCCACTGCACAGGTCTTAGTACACATCAGAAAATTCATACTGGGGATAAACCCTACAAATGCAAAGACTGTGGTAAAGCCTTTTATCTCTTGTCAACACTTAAGGACCATCACAGAGTCCACACTAGAGAGAAGCCTTACAAGTGCAAAGAATGTGGTAAGTTCTTTCATTGGATGTCGGGCCTTAAAAACCACTACAGAGTCCATACTGGAGAGACACCTTACAAGTGTGGGGATTGTGGCAAATCCTTTTCTCAGATGTCAAGACTTAAAATGCATTATAGAATCCACACTGGAGAGAAACCTTGCAAATGTGTAAAATGCAACAAATGCTTTTCCCGCTGCACAGCTCTTAAAAGGCATCTTAAAATTCATGCTGGTGAAAAACCCTACAAATGTGAAGAGTGCGGCAAAAGTTTTTATGTGTTGTCACACCTTAAAAGCCATCGTAAAACCCATACTGGAGAGAGACCTCACAAATGTGAGGAATGTGGTAAGTGCTTTTCTCAGCTGGCCAAACTTAAAAACCATTCCCGAATCCACACTGGAGAGAAACCTTACAGATGTCAGATATGCGACAAATCTTTTACCCACTGCACAGCTCTTAGTACACATCAGAAAATTCACACTGGGGAGAAACCCTACTCATGCAAAGACTGTGGTAAGTGCTTTTATCTGTTGTCAAGACTTAAAGAACACCACAGAGTCCACACTGGAGAGAAACCGTACAAGTGTAACGAATGTGGTAAGTTCTTTCATTGGTTGTCAAACCTTAAAAGACATTCGAGAATCCACACTGGAGAGAAACCTTACAAGTGTGAAGAATGTGATAAATCCTTTACCCACTGCTCAAGTCTTAAAGCTCATCAGAAAATTCATGCTGGGGTAAAGCCCTACCAATGTGAAAAGTGTGGCAAATCCTTTTATTGGTTGTCAAACCTTAAAACCCATTCAAGAATCCACACTGGAGAGAAACCTTACAAATGTGGCGAATGTGACAAATCCTTTACCCAGCGCTCTCTTCTTACAAAGCACACCAGGATCCATACTGCAGAAAAACATGAACATAAGAAACTTTCGAAAGCTCTTAAAGAATGATTAAATCGTAGAAATACCAAGAATTTATACTGAAGAAAAATTCTTCAGATGTAACAATGTAGAAAAACCATTCATAAAAACATCTTACTTGTTCAACCTCAAAAAAAAAAAAATCATGAGGACAAATTGTAATGAGAAAATTCAGACCAGGAGGAAACTACTTGAATGATCAGTTATGAAATTCTCATGTCTTGTACATTAGGAATTATATGTCTTGTAATTCCATGCTAGAGAGCCCAAGAACTGCATTGAATTTGTCAATGTTTTTACCTAGTGTTAAAATTATAGATACATCTGAAAATTCATCCTGAAGGAAAAACCCAAAAAATCTTGAATAAAGACTCATCTTTTATTCATCTTCGAAATAGTCATTCTGGAGTCAAGCCCTACAAGTAGCAAGAGCATGAGAAACATTAAAGACATAACCTGTGGATGTGACTCACGTACTACATGCACAGCGAGGAAATCCCAAAGAGTGTGCAGGAAAATCAGTTTTCAGTACTCAAGAACTGTGTTCCAACTGAAAAGCACAGTGATTCATAAAGAAACACTAAGACACAATAGACATTAGACAAGTGTGTTACAAAGAAGAAAACCAAATGAGTGAATGTGTCCTATATTTAAGTGGAGAAGGATATTTCTATATGAACAGATGTAGTATTATTCTTACTGACATTTTGCTAATGCTAGTATTTGCTGAAATGTAAACAGAGTGTTTTGTTTTTTTGAAAACTCAGATACATCCATGCTGTCTTTTTTACAGATGAGTTTATGATAATGTCTATCAATGGTTGCTGCATCAGGACTGATGAGCCTGAGACAGGTGTCAGGGAAGTTAGATGGTTAGGGACTGGCCACTAACGATCTGTGAACCCACATCACCTGGACAGACTCCTGAGGGCAAGTTCAGAGAGTCCCTAGGTCAAAGCTCTTCGTGCAGATGCTGCACAGACCAAGGCGCCTATGCGTGAAGACCTTTTGGCAACTACACTTGTTCGTGACAGTGTTTCCAGTGCCAGGGAGAATTCTATCGTCGTGTGCCTATGAAGACTACTCCTTTTTTTTTTTTTTTTTAAGCCCCTGATTGTTTGTTACTCACTATTTAAAACAGCCTTCGCCACCTGAGCAGAATCCTGTCTTGGGATCCCTTTGGTTCCCGGAGTTAATCTTCCCCTTTATTTGTAACACATGGTTGAAGTGCTCCACTTTTGCGGAGTTCAGTTTTCTTTATGTGTGGGCAGGATTCAGAGGTTAGAGCAGGCTACAGATGGCAGCCATTGGCGCTTGCTGTCTGCTGTTCCTAGAAATCTACTGTGTGTTTCTGTTCCATGAAGAGCTAGTAGCCTAAGCAAACTTCATTACTATAACACAAATGAAGATGAGCTGTATTTTGCAGGAAAAAGAGGAATACACTTTCATATGAGGTAAGTATTTTGGGCAATAGGAAGAGAAAGGGGCTAGCCTAGCCTTCAGCAGGCAGTGGACAATAGGAAGAGAAAAGGGCTAGCCTAGCCTTCAGCAGGCAGTGGGTAATAGGAAGAGAAAAGGGCTAGCCTAGCCTTCAGCAGGCAGAGGGAGAGACATCTCAAAAATATCTTACAGATCCCTGAAAAAAATTGGCAAACCTATGGAATTAGTGATTTCTAGCTGGATGTCCTCAATGAAATGTATGTGGAAAAATAGAGATCAGAGGAAAATAAATTTTAATCATAGAGAATATATAGTTGTGTGGAACAGTGTCACACGTTTGCCTACTTTGAAAATAGTGAATAATAACTATAAGTTACCTTAGTAAAGTAACATCCCTCCTAATGTAACCTGCATTTTTTGTAAAACCACGTGTATTTTTGGAATGTTCTACAGCTCTGTGTAAGGTGATATTTTTAAATAAATAAAACGTGTGTGTTTAATGGCTTTACATTGAAATTCAATGAGTAAATGTGATTCAGCCTCCAGCCTGAGTCTCTCACACCTTAATTTAACGAATGAGGAATCCAGAGTTTTTTGCAAGACTGGGGAGGTCCCATTCCAAATCTTCCCATAGCATGTAAGCCTGATATGATTTTGTATAATCTTGTCAAAGTTTATATTTCTGGTTTCAGGCGTATGATGAATTTAACAGAAATTACTTGGCAGTGAAGCTGGAATTCTAATCACAGAAGTTTTTCCTTACAAACCTTCAGGCAATACTTCTCTTTGTACCTAACCCTGGCCAACCCCACCTGAACACCGAGAGTAGGCTTTTCCTTTATATATAAATAGATGCCTACATATTTGAGAGGTGAGCTTATTGTTTAGACTTTCATATATGTGTATCATGCATTTTGATATACTCACCCCTGCAAGCCTTCCCTCCAGTTTCTCCCCAGCTTTCTTCATGTGTCCTCTTTCTTTCCCTCCCTCCTTCCCTCCCTCCCTCCCTCCCTCCCTCCTTCCTTCCTTCTTTCCTTCCTTCCTTCCTTCCTTCTTTCTTTTTCTTTCTTTTTTAAGTGCCTGAATCCAGCTAGTGCCAACTGCATGTACATGGTTGTAAAACCAATCTGCTAGACAATGAACAGCCTTTCAGGGGCCATATTTCTGAAGAAAACTAATTCCTCCTCCACTCAAATTCACTTGCTCATTTGGTTTTCCTCTTTGCAATACACTTGTTTGTCTAATGTCTATTGTGTCTTATTGTTTCTGTGTGAATCACTGTGTTTTCCAGTTGAATGAAACGATTTTCCTGCACTCTCTGGACCTTTCCAGCAGTACACGAGCATATACATGTGTCACATCCACCGGTTATGTCTTTAATGTTTTTCACACTCTGGCTACTTCTAGGGTTTGACTCCAGCTAGTGGTGTGAGGAGCCCCTCTCCCTAGCCATGCTGGGATTTGGGCTGCTTCATGCCGTCACGGGTGCTTTTGATTCAGGGGTGCACTAACAGTACCACGTGGGAGATGAGGAAAACAGACCAGCCATGCCTGTGCTTTATTTTCTTAGAAACAGAGACCCATGGGCTGAACACTTCTGACTTACGTTTTGTGTAGTGTGGCTGGGTCATGGTATAGGAGGCAAGAGTGATCCACGGATGACGGGTCCTCTCTCTTCTGCCCATCCCATTAACTGCTTGGATCTGCGATCCTAGCCCTGTGAGCGGAAATGGCAGAGGTGTAGAACAGGCCAGACAGACGTGTTTCTGAGTCAATATCCGTCACATAATTTTTAGGTGGAAGTCATTGTGTTGAGACTTCGTCAGGGAAACATATGAAAACATGGATCATATAATCACACCCTAGCCTGACCTATTAACATTGGTGATGTCAAATTTGTGATATTATTAATGGGTTTGCCATAATTAAGACTATTCTTAGCCCTTTACAAGAGCCATGTGGCTGTTTGTTGATACTTTTAGTATCATGATTATTTACAGGTTCTGAGATGAGCCAGTAGTCCCATGTTTTTTATGAAAGTCGGTGTAGCTAAGCGGAAGGAATGTGGAGTGTTTGTCCCATCTGCAGTCGAAGCAGGTGCTAAAGAAGTCTGTCTCAGCTGGCAGCTGGGTCACCTGTGTGGGATAACGCAGATTCCCTCCATCATGAGAGTAAGGCTTTCTGAACTGGAGTTGCGGATGGTCGTGGGTGCTGGGAATCAGAGCCCAGTCCTCTGAGTGTGGAGAGAGGGTTCACTGATTAAAAGCACTCCTGTTCTTCCAGAGGATGGGAGTTTGGGTTCCAGCACTCAATTGTAGCTTACAACCTATAACTCCACATTTGAACTTCCCAGGGATCTGACGCCTGACTCCTAGGCCACAGGCAAGAACACTGTGCACATACAATCACGCTGGCAAAACCCTCAGGAATGATGGGAGAAAAGCATTACCAGTCTCAACGGTGTCACCGAGAAGCAGGATAGTTTCTGTAGCTTAGATTCTGGAGGAATAGGGGAATCATTATCCTCACACATGAGTGGAACATGCCGCTGATACCAGGACAGACAGGGAAACCATGGCCCAGAGCCTGATTCCCAATCAAGACATCAGAGACTGATGGCATTACTATATGGTGTGGCACTTTGCTGCTCCACAGAACAGTTTCCCAAATCCATTGACTTTATTATATTATTGTTACTGCCTTTACTTGTTTCATGCCCTGGGATGGTAACATTTATCAGACCATTAAGCACATGGAAGTCAAAGGTGCTAGCTGGTATATTTATTTGGTGGCCATTATACTTACCCCAGAGTCTTAACGATTTCCAAGAAGCAGGTACAGATGAACACACCCCTACACATCCTATTAATGGAGAAATGGAGTTAGCATCATCAATTATTGGAATTTACATTCAGGAGACATGCAGTAAGTATAAATTAAAAATATATATTCCAGGAGTGGTACCAATGACTAAATTATTACTTTTTTTTTTTTTTTTAGCCAGGATCTCGAAGTATAGTACCCTAGAACTTAACTATGTAGACCAGGTTGGCCTCTGCTTTTTTTTTTTTTTTTTTTTGGTTTTACGAGACAGGGTTTCTCTATTGTTTTGGAGGCTTTCTGTCCAGCCCAGCCTCAAACTCACAGCGATCTGCCTGCCTCTGCCTCCCAAGTGTTGGGATTAAAGGTGTGCGCCACCATGCCTGGTTATATTAATTTTTTTGGGGGGAGGATTTCGAGACAGGGCTTCTCTGTGTAGCTTTGGAGGCTATCCTGGCACTCCCTCTGTAGACCAGGCTGGCTTCGAACTCAGAGATGTGCCTGCTAAGTGCTGGGATTAAAGGTGTGCCTAATTTTCGATGAATAAGAAATATGTATTTATAAAGCGCTGTGATATTTTGACCTATATCTACACGTTTAAAAATACATTTTATGAGTATGAATGTCTTGCCTGGAGGTGATGGCTTGAATAGGAATGGCTCCCATAGTATTTGAATGCTTAGTCATCAAGGAGTTGCACTCCTGGAAAAGCATTAGGAGGTGTGGCCTTGTTGGAGGAGGTGTGTCACTGGGGGTGTGCTTTGAGGTTTCAAAAGCCCACACCAGGCCCAGTGTCTTGTCTGTCTCTGTCTGTCCCTCTCCCTCTTTCTCCCCCTCTAGGCCTGTGGCTTAGGATACAACTAGGCTCCAGCCACTCGTGGGCTGCTATGATAATGGACTAAACCTCTGAAACTGTAAGCAAGCCTCCAATTAAATACATTCCTCTCTAAGAGTTGCCTTGGGGCCAAGCAGAGGCGGTGCACACCTGTAGTCCCAGCACTTGGGAGGCAGAGGTACGCGGATCCTCTGTGAGTTCAAGGCCAGCCTGGTAGTCTACAGAGAGAGTTCCAGATCAGCTAGGGCTGTTACACTGAGAAAACCTGTCATGGTTGTGGTGTCTCTTCACAGAAGCAGAATGGTGACTAATAGACTCCATGTAGTATGGGCAGCTCGTATGTGCCTGCTGTTCGTGGGATTCAGAAGAGAACATCACTTTCTGAACTGGGGTTGCAGATGGTTGTGAGTGCTGGGAATCAGAGCTCAATCCTCTGGAACAGCAACAAATGCTCTGAACTACTGAGGTATCGCCTCAGGCTCTCTGGTACGCCCCAACCCCCCCCTCTCTCATTAATTCAATTAGCATAACAGGCACCTCAGAGAAACCAGAGCAAATATGAGATTCTTTGTAGACTGAAAAATACCGAGCTGGGCAGTGGTGGCACATGCCTTTAATACCAGCATTCAGGAGGGAAAAGCTGGTGAGCCTCTGAGTTCAAGGTCAGCCTAATCTACACAAATCCTGTGGGGGTGGGAAGTTGTGATTCTTGCTTAAATGCTGCCTGTGGAATTTCAGGAATGAATGTCTCACCCAAAAGCAGCTCAAATCATCAGAGGGGACATTTTTTTCATATGTATTTATTATTATGTATACAGTGTTCTGCCTCCATATATCCCTGCAGTCCAGAAGCGGGCACCAGATCTCATTACAGATGGTTGTGAGCCACGATGTGGTTGCTAGGAATTGAATTCAGGTCCTCTGGAAGAGCAGCCAGTGCTATTAACCGCTGAGCCATCTCTCCGTCCCCTTATTCTCACAGTTTGCTACTTCATATAGTAGGGTCAAAGATGTTTCTGTTCTCTTTGCAATTTAGATACACTCTGCACATTTTTATGTACTCCCTGTTGATGTGTCCTGGTGTTTATTACAAGTGTGGCATCAGGCAGAACTCTACATGGACATAGGCTATCGCAGAAGTGACTGTGACGCTCTTTGATGTCTCAACTTATACTGCAAGAATCACTCCTCTTTCCTAATCCTGGCATCATCCAGGACTAGGTTCCAGATCATTTCCCCAGAGAGTTTGCAACCCTCTTAGAGAGTCTAGCTACCTAGATAAATGCTCACTTGACTTTCCTACTATAGGCAGTGAGCTCAGGGCACCTATATGTCACCATCTCTCAGAGCTGCTCACCCCAGAAAACCATGAGAAACATGTTCCTTGTTATCACCAAAAACCTCTTACAGTTAGACTCTCCACCGAGACTGTCTTTGTGAATGCTATTCCTCTCTGCATGGGGATGTACAGGAATATGCTTGGATAGTAGCAGGGGACTTGTGCAATTCATCCCTGAATAAATGGATGAGAAGGAAGACGTCATCTAGTTCAATCCTTGAAGACACTCAGAAGGATGAAACATTGACATTCATAGGGCAGATTCCTAAGTGAAGTGTAGATGCAAAGGAAAATGCTTATCTCTCCTTCCTGCAGATGTAACATGGATCCCTGCATAGTAGAGTAGTGCTTCTTAGGGGTGATGACAGTCTGTTTATCAATAAAGAATATATTTTAAGACCCATGTGTTTTCCCAGCCTCTGTGGCAGATCAGTACTTCTAAAATCGCACTATTTATGTATAACAATTTTCAGTGTTTCCCCCACCAATGTCAACAATGAGGCATAACAATGCACCATGACACTGTTGGTGACTTACTAAGATTCGTTTAAGTTTGACCTGGGGGATCTTCCAATCCTCTTACATCCTATTTGTTATATACAATATTTCAGTACTATTCCCAGAGGGGAAAAAATCCATAATCTTGCTATCATCCATATACAAAGACATGATTGTATCTAGGCAAGTATACATGTATACAGCTAAAAACATGATAATACATCTTAAATGACCCAATTAAAAACCAATTAAATGCTTTCTAGGCAATTTGCAAAAACCCTGTATTTTCTGTTTTATATGAAAGAAGACACGTGCTTTTTAATCCTCATCACCAATCATGAGGGTTTTTTTTTGTTTTGTTTTAAGGTGGGGCATTTTCTTTTGAAACATCCCTTTAATTTTGTTGTTGAGACAGAGCCTTACTATGAAGCCTTGACTGGCCTGTAACTCTATCTAGACAAGGGGACTGGAACTTACAGATATCCACCTTCCCCTTCCATCAGAGTGCTGGGATTAAAGGCATACCACCAGGCCAGTTTATCGGGTTTTTTTGTTTGTTTGTTTGTTTCTTCCTAAAATCTCTTTTGTGGGGAGGAGGGTTTTATTTCTTCTGATTTTTCTCTCATGGTTTGGACTTTGTGTTCCTGGAACCATGTCCACATCACTAGTGTGATTTCTAGTGTCCTTTTATGTTGTTGTATGGTAAAGCCTCAGCCCACCCTGAATGAAGGCCACTGTTCCACAGAATATCAGAAATGTCTGCGGGGTTACCCTATCATGAATATCCTTCTCTACAGCTTTTCATCTTCTATTTTTAGGTGGTAAATTGACCCTGTTAACCATCCATTTCCTCTGACATGCAGGAAGGAAGGTTTCAGAAAGTTGGTTTTATTCTTTTATTACGAAGCTTGGCCACATCCCTCCCAGAGAGTTCTCAGGTGCTGCTTGGCATATGGTGGGCTCATTCACATAAGCCGGGACACATCCTGTATTAGCAGGAAGGGGCTGAGTACCCCAGAGTTACAAGAAACTTCATAGTCCTTTGAAGGCCACAGCCAGGTATGAGGACAAAACAATAAAATGCTACAGCTCACTCATTTGACCTTAGTTCAAAGATGAGCCCAAGAGTAGTTAGACAGCTTTTTGCACCCATTTCCTTGTCCTCGATAGTTGATAGGTAGAAAGACAGACAGCTAGGTAGGTAGGTAGATAGACAGGTAGGTAGGTAGGTAGGTAGATAGGTAGATGATAGACAGCTAGGTAGGTAGGTATGTAGGTAGGTAGATAGGTAGGTAGGTAGGTAGGTAGGTAGCTGTTGGTTTGGTTTTCTCCCCCGCTGTCCGCCCTTCTTCCCCCCCCCCCCCCACAGGGTTTCTCTGTGTAGCCCTGACTGTCCTGGAACTCCCTCTGTACACCAGGCTAGCATGGATCTTAGGTATCCACCTGCGTCTGCCTCCCTAGCAAGGTGCCACCACTCCTGGCAAAGAGTGACATATCTACTTCGATTGCCTGCTGAACAGAGCCAGCTAACCTGCTGCGGAGAAGCGATTTTCCCCTAAACGGCGGAACTTCCCACAAGCCATTGCTAGTGCAGAGGGGAGGAACCGGGTGTCACAACCCGAGCCAGAATGTCACCTATGTCAAGGGCGCCGCCCATTGGACCTTGGTCACCTGCACAGATGGGCGGGCTAGGGAAACTGGGCGGAAAAAGGAAGTAAGTGGGCGGGACCAGGGTAGGTTCGGCTCCCCAAAAAGGCGGCAGGCACAGCAAATTCGCCATTCCTTGTGCAATCTCTGGAGACGCGTTATGCAGATGTGAGTGCCGCGGAGCCGCAGTGTCCGCTTGGGGCCGCCTGGGAAAGTCAGCGTCAGCAGCAGCTCAGTGGCGGGAACCGCAGCCCGGCGGCCCTGGAACCTCCCAGGTCAGAGGAGCCGCGGGGCTGGGACCCGGGAGGGCGGGGACGGGGTGCGAGCGGTTTCTCTGCTGCTCATCGGGAAGCCGGCTCCCAAATTCTGATGTGGGTGTCTTTCCCTTGTCGGTGCATTTTAGATTGTATGAACTGGACTGATCCTGATTTTTTTATTGTATGATTTTTAAAATAGTCTCTTCAAAATAAATCTGGCAGAACCGAATCTATGTGTTGCTGTTTCTAACAGTGTTCTGTTTGCTACTTCCGAAACAACAAACTCTTAAAAATTTTAAATTATCCATGCTTTTCATCTCTCGTGTTCTGCCATTTCCCCTGTTCAAGAGAGTGGTAATCAGAACTTGATTGTCAACCTAAAACGCGTGTTAGATATTAACCGCTTAAGGGTCGACTGTAGGTTTGTTTGGATCACAAATATGTCTTAGCAAACTCCACAGTCATGGTTGTAAGCATTTACCATGCAGAATTTTACCGTTGATTTTGCATCTGAAATGTATACATTATATTTTGTTGTTGTTTTGAGGGGTGGGGTTCGAGACAGGGTTTCTCTGTATTGTTTTGGAGGCTGTCCTGGAACTCGCTCTGTAGACCAGGCTGGTCTGGAACTCTCAGAGATCCACCTGCCTCTGCCTCCCCAGTGCTGGAATTAAAGGCATACGCCACCAACGCCAGGCTTTATTTGTATTCTCATGTGACTTATGAACGCTGAGAGTGAGGCTATCAGGCCATCCTTATTCAGCACTGTATAGGACAGCAAGCATCTCAGTAGGGATTTTTGAGTAATTGTGACAGCTCACCTACGTGGCAATATTTGTACTTATGATCTAATAAAGGTTGCCTGGAGATCAGAATGCAAAAGCTAACCACAGCGGTAGCTGGGCAGTGGTGGCACACACCTTTAATCCCAGGACTCAGGAGACAGAGGCAGATGGGTCTCTGTAAGTTCAAGGTCTCTTATTTTCTTTTGTCTCCTTGGTTCAAGAATATAGCACGTGGACACACGGCCAAACTCTGGCTTTTTGGGGGGGTGGGTTTGAAGTAGGGGGTTTTCTTGTGTTAACAGTTCTGGGTGTCCTGAAACTCTAAACCAGGCTGGCCTCAAACTGCCTCTGCCTCTAGAGTGCTAGGATTAAAGGCTGGACCCCCCCCCCACACACACACACAAAGTGTTGCTTTTTATTTCAGGATCTGGTTTTTTGTTTTTTGGCTTTTTTTTCTTGAGACAGGGTTTCTCTGTATTGGTTTAGAGGCTGTCCTGGAACTCCATCTGTAGACCAGGCTGGCCTCAAACTCCCAGAGATCCACCTGCCTCTACCACCCAACTGCTGGGATTAAAGGCGTGTGCCACCAACACCCTGCCTAAAGCAGTGCTTTTAGAGCTAATTGGCAAGCATGACTTCATCTTGCTACTTGGAACAGAATGACCTGGAGAAGTTGCTGAAACTACGTCATTGCCCCTAGCAACCTTACCACAGGCGTTTTACCATGCGTGACTGAATGTTGTACGTTTGAAAAGTGCCCAAGCCTTTGTGATTCTGGGAAGTCCTGCTTGCTTTTTTTTCCTGGCCTCACCTTGTGGCTGCAGATTATAAAATGCAGATGCTAACTGAACTGGAGAATGGAAACCGTTCAGAGCTACCCCAACTTCAGTCCACCCACTCCCAACCGTTAAAGAGTGGCCATTCCAGAGAGATTTCCGCAGCAGAATTTACAGCAGTTTGGGTACCGTTTTCCTGTACTATTCTTTCTCGGGCTCCTTCTCAAACTGTGCTGCATGTGTGTGAGCTTCGTGGGGATGAACCTCACGTCTCATGACAGTGAGAAATTCTCAGCGCAGGAAAAGAGAAAACTTTCTCGTTACTCTTCATGCTTTTCGTTTGGGGAAGTGTTCAGTTTCTTTCGGTTTTGTTCCACGAGTGTATAATACTGTCACCTCAATCATGAAGTTTCATTTCCACTCGTGAGGGTTTTTTTAATTTGCTGGTTCATGTTTGCCTGTATGTCTGTACCACATTTATGCCTGGTGCCTACAGAGTCCAGAAGAAGGGGACAGATCCCCTGGAGTTGGAATTGTGGATGGTTGTGAGCCACCATGTGGGTACTGTTGCTCAACCGGTTCTCTAGAAGAGCAGCCAGAACTCTTACCCACTGAGCCATCCTACCAGCCAGCCTTGACTGTGGCTGGAAGTGGAGCTCAAGTTACTCTGACTGAAAATGCTCCCAGAATATTTTTCAGTGTTCTGACACTACACGACAGCTGGGGAATCATTTCTAGAATCCTCTATTTTGTTTTCTCTGTATCTGCTGAACACAGTACTCTGCCGGAAATCCAAGAGCTTCCTGAACAATCCCTTTCCCATGTGCAGGTCTCCCTGATCAACTTGACCCCCTGTGCAGCAGAACCAGCCCTGTCTGGTGAAGAGAAGGGAGACAGCAGCTGAGGATCTAGGTATGTTGGTTGATTGAGGTTGGTGAGGGGCTCAAGCGACAGAGGAAACCAGACATGAAATTGTTTTTGCCACATTCTGTTTCATTAGAAATGATTCTGGAGAGTTCCACTGAGAATAATCTCCTCGGGATCATCCTGTTGTAGGTGTTAGGTGGCTTTCTATGTAAGAAATAATAGTAAGAAATAATATTTGACTGCGCATTCGATTGACTCCTGGCCCTCTTGAATGCATATCACTGATCACATCCTCATCAATATCAGTTTTCGTTACTATAATTTTAATGTTTTATAAAATTAGGAAAATTGATGCCTTTCATTTTCCTCTGCTCTCAAAAGTTTGTAGCTTCTTGTTCCTTCAAATTCTGTTTCTTGTTAGGGTTAACTTCTCCACTTCCTAAAGCCATGCTAAGAATTTGCTTACTATCTCTCCACAGTATTAAGCTCCATGTGCATTGTCCTCCCATTGACACCTCCTGTCTGTCTTCAGGTCAACACTCAATGCTCTTATTGTTACCATTTCAACGGGTTTTTCAAATCGCCTTTGGGTTTGATCTTCTTTTGAAGATTTTTTTTAGAAATGTTTGTGGTTTCCTACAATTTAATATCACTTTAGGATTACTTTCTCAATTTGTACACAATGCCGGGAAGATTTTGTTAGGAATTTCTTAGCAGCATTACAGAAGGCAAACCTCCTTCTACACTGTCTTTTCAAGTTTGAATAAGAACATGCCAGCTGCCGGTTTTCACATCACATATTCCCTCCCTCCCTTTCCTTCTTTTGACGGGATTTCTCTGCTCACTCTGTAGACCAGGCTGGCCTTCAACTAAGAGATATAATTGCCTCCACTCCCTGATTGCTGGGATTAAAAGCATACACCACCACTGCCTGGTGACTTGTTTTATTTCTAAGATTTGAGCATAGTAGAGCATGTTCCTTGATGCTTGAGAAGATTGTTAGACCTCTGCTGCTGTGTGGAAACTGTAGACCAGACTGTCTCTGCCTCCCAGTGCTAAGATTAAAGGGTTGTGACGCTACTTCGTGGACTCATGAAATGTTTTGTTAAATTCCTTTGATCTTAGTATTTTGTGTTTTTAGGTTTGAAATGAATTGCTGTGTTTTCAGTTTTTCTTTCTGTTTCTCTCTCTCTCTCTCTCTCTGTGTATTTGCATCTGTTCTTTGGGTAATATTCATTTGTATTTGAAGAAATCACTGAAAGGAAAGATCAAACTCATAACATTTTGACAATGTTTCCTCTATTTCTTATATGCCCTTTCCTCTTTGTGAGTTCTTTTGTCTTTCATTGGCATTTTTATAGTTTATTTCTTTATAAATTTCATTTCAGCATCATCTATACATTTTCTCAATGACCACCCTAGCACAGTGATTTCTTATTAAACAACCAAACAAGCAAAAGCAAATTCACATTGGTTTCAACTTATATCTTTTCCTCTTTCTGAGATCTTTTGTCTTTTATAAGACTTATTTATTATGTATACAGTGTTCTGCCTGCATATATGCATGCTTGCCAGAAGAGGGCACCAGATCTCATAGTTGTGAGCCTCCATGTGGGTGCTGGAAATTGAATTTAGCACCTCTGGAAGAACAGCTAGTGTTCTTAACCTCTGAGCCATTACTCTATCCCTTGTTGGTATTTTTATTACTTTATAAACTTCATTAAGTCATTCATTACAAGAATGTGATTCAGTTAGTAGTGATCCACAGAACCCTATGTGTGGTATAGTTGAATCTTACGTAAATTTTTAATTTAATTTTATTTTAATGTTTTGCTTGCTTGTTTGGTTGTTCAAAAAGGTACACATTTACTTGCATGGTGGCTGCAGTGAGCTGGAATTCCTTGTTTTTTGTTTCTTTTGGTTTTTCGAAACAGTTTCCCTGCATAGCTTTGGAGCCTGTCCTGGAACTCACTCTGTAGACCAGGCTGGCCTTGAACTCACAGAGATCTACTTGCCTCTGCCTCCCGAGTGCTGGGATTAAAGGTGTGCACCACCAACGCTACTGGAATTTCCTGCTGACAGTATCTCTGTGTGTTCTTCCTCCTGCATCTACCCCCTTGTTTATTGTTAAGACCTTGAGTGCGGCGCTGTCCGGGCCGAGTAATCTGTAGTTCCATTCAGTTCCCTGTGTCCACTTATGGCCACTTTTCTCCTTTGTGTTACTCTGCAGGTTCACTCTTCCAGCTCAAAGTCTGTGATTCATTGCTTGGGGGAGAGAATCAGACCCAGGTTCATACATGGTGTGTGGATAGATAACTTTGACCAACACCATTAGTTGAAGAGACTACCTATCTTGCAGCTTAAGATGTTGTCATTTTGATAAAATTATAGATGGTCTCAGCTTCTTCAGATGGTTCTGAATCTGCTACTACCTTGCCCTGGGCTGTGTCTACTCTTCTGGTAGTACATGTTGGTCATGTGGCTCTGTGGATGACCTGAGATCTCAGTTTTAATAGATCAGTCTCTGTTGTTGGTAATATAGGAATTTATACTGTTCATTTTTCTCTGTCAGTGTGCATGGAAATGAATTTCTTTGTTATATTTTTCACTTTTTTGAGTGTCTAAAATTTTTCATAATAGAAGTCAAAGTCAGAGTCCAGTGATGGCGGTGCATACCTTTAATCCCAGCACTGGGGTGACAGTGAGTCAGATCTCTGTGAGTTCGAGTCCAGCCAGTCCAGGACAACCTCCAAAGCTACAGAGAAACCCTATCTTGAAATAGAAAGGAGAGAGAGAGAGAGAGAGGGAGGGAGGGAGGGAGGGAGGGAGGGAGGGAGGGAGGGAGGGAGGGAGGGAGGGAGGGAGGGAGGGAGGGAGGGAGGGAGAGAGAGAGAGAGAGAGAGAGAGAGAGAGAGAGAGAGAGAGAGAGAGAGAGAGAGAGAGAGGAGAGGGTCTCACTATGTAGTTCTGACTGTTCTGGATGTTCTGGAACTTACTTTGTAGATCATCTACCTGCTTCTGTTTCCTGAGCTCTGGGATCAGAGGCTTGTGCCGCCATGCTTGTCTCCTGGGTGTATTTTAAGTTAATGTTTATGGGTTAGTTTCTTAATTTGTTTTTCAACATCCTTGCTATTGATATATTTTTTTAAAAAGTAGTGATTTTGTGTTACTCATTATTCAAGCATTTATCAAATCTAAGGTTCTTTATGTTTGTCAGTAGGGAAGTTTTTGTGTTCTAAGGGGTATTTTGTTTGTATTGTTTTTTTGTTGTTTTCTAGACAGGGTTTCTCTCTGTAACAGCCCTGGCTGACCCAGAACTCATTTTGTAGGCCAGGCTGGCCTTGCTGGGATTAGTGTCAGGTGCTACCACACCTAACTCTCAGTAGGGAGTTTTATTTCGGTGATCACACCATTGTTGAAAAGAGTAGTTTGGAGTCTTTATTTCCTATCTCTATCTTTTTTGCTTTTTTGTTTTGTTTGTTGTTGTTGTTTTTTTTTTTTTTTCAAATTTCTCTTGCTAGCCACCATAGCTCCACATTAAATGAAACGGAAGAAGTGTGCGTTTTCATTTTGTTGCAGTGTTCCTGGTAACGACGTTCACTTTCCTCTCTGTGTACTGTTGGCCTAGGTGGGATACACATGTCCTTTATGGTATTGAACCGTGTTCCATTTCTTCGTAGCTCTAGGAATTACATCATGAGTTTTTGTTGAACAGGACTTTGTCGGGTGACATTTCTCTTTCTACTTTGTTCTTGGGATTTTTCCCCTATAATGTTGTTGGTGTTGTAGGTGGCTGTATTATTGGTACTATTTTTTTTCCTTCTCTGTTACAGTGCTTTGCTATGTTGTACCTGGTTTATTTTTGTGTTTTATTTAATTAATTTACTTGTTTACTTATTTGGTTTTTCTTTTGTTTTGTTTAAGATTTATTTATTACATATACAGTGTTCTGCCTACATACCAGAAGAGGGCACCAGATTGAATTGTAGATGGTTGTGAGCCACCATGTCGTTGCTGGGAATTGAACTCAGGACCTCTGGAAGAGCAGCCAGAGCTCTTAACCTCTGAGCCATCTCTCCAGCCCCTTATTTGTTTTTTCAAGACAGGGTTTCTCTGTGTAGCTTGGAGCTTGTTCTGGAACTGACTCTGTAGACCAGGCTGGCCTCAAACTCAGTGCCTGGTTTATTCTCAAGTCTCCTATAGTCATCCATTGCTCGTGTGTATCTCATTTCTTGTGTCCTCTCAGATAAGTCCTCTCCGTGTCTTGTGTTTCTGTTTGTTTTATCTTAGTTTATGTGTAAGGGTATTTTGCTCATGTGTATATCACTGCACCATGTGTAAGCCCGGTGCCTGTAGAGATCCGAGGGCATCATGTCTCCTGGAGTTACCGATGGTTATTGTCTGCCATGTGATTTGAACCTGGATCCTTTGGAAGACTGATCGGTATTCCCCCATTTTCTCTTCTCTCATTCTTGCATGCGTAGTCTGCTCTACTTATTATCTTTAGTGTGTTTGGGTGAGATGGCCTGTTAATTCATGATTGTCTTCAAATGCACTTGTCTCTTTGCCAACTGTTATAGACATGTTGCCTGGGTGTAATAACAGAGTCCTGGCTATAGGAATATTGACAAGACATTTGGTATTATTCTAGTGTTTGGATCTTTTGATGTGGTATATGGCTTTGTTCCTAACAGCTTTTAATACAAATTTTAGGTTTATCTTTTGGACACAATTGTACAAAAGTTGCAAGAAGAGGAAAAATGGCGGGTTCTCCAATAAATACATCCCAGGTCAGTGTCATGCCTGCTTCTGGTCTATAGAATTGTTATCTATGAAAACACTGCAGGCCCTTAATCTGTGTTATGCTATCTAAAATGTTTGTTTTTCCTTTTCTTCTGATAGATAAGATTAACGGGCTGGAGAGGAGATAGCCAGAAGTTAAGAGCACTGGCTGCTCTTCCAGAGGTTCTGAGTTCAATTCCCAGCATCCACATGGTAGCTCACAATCATCTGTAATAAGCTCTGGTATCAGCCGAGGGTTGGTGGCACACACCTTTAATCCCAGCACTCGGGAGGCAGAGGCAGGCAGATCTCTGTGAGTTTGAGGACAGCCTGGTCTACAGAGCGAGTTCCAGGACAGCCTCCAAAACAATACAGAGAAAATCTGTCTTGAAAAACCAAAAAAAAAAAAAAAAGATCCGGTAATATCTTCTGGCCTGCAGGCATACATGCAGACAGAACACTGTACGTATACTAAATAAATAAACCTTTAAAAAAAACACAGCCTTCCCACCATCCATTTTTCCCTGCTTATATTTGTAAGAGAAAAAGAATCTAAGACCTGCAATTCTAAAACTGTTTTTCACTGTGATTGATGATCAGAGAAATGTGTGGCTACCCGACAGCTACAGAGGATGGATGCATATCTTATATATTAGTGAGGAAAACCATGTTCCACAGAGGCCCTGTTTGAGGGATCTATCAGATTTCCTTAAACCAGTTTTTTGAAAGTGCACATTCAGACACCTGGAGCACCTCACTGGCATCAGTGAACTGTTCACGAAAGGGTAGTCTTAGAAGAGACCCCACTCCCTCTGACCCTCCTGCAGAATATATTCAAGTTGTCTAGAGTGCAGAACACTGTAGTTCTGTGCATCATCTTAGCCTAAAGCAGCGGTTCTCAACCCGTGGGTCATGACCCCCTTGGCAAACCTGGAACTGTATTAAAGGGTCACAGTGTTAGGGAGATTGAGAACTGCTGGCCTAAAGCAATGCTCTTGTCAGTAGATTCAGAGTGTAGTTTCAGCCGGGCTGTGGTGGCTCACGCCTTTAATTCCAGCACTCGGGAGGCAGAGGCAGGCAGATCTCTGTGAGTTCCAGGCCAGGCTGGACCGACAGCCCCCAAAACAATACAGAGAAACCCTGTCTCATAAAAACAAAAAACAAACAAACAAACGATTTGTAATTTCATTGATTCTCTCCTTCCTTCCTTCCTTCCTTCCCTCCCTGCTTTCCTCTCTCTCTCTCTCTTTCCTTCTTTCTCTCTCTCTCTGTTTCTTCCTTTCTGATACAGGGTTTCACTATTTTTCCTGGCTGCCATAGAACTCATTCTGTAGATCAAAGATCTGCCTGCCTCTGCCTCCCAAGTGGTGAGATTACAGATGCATGCCACCACCAGCCAGCCCTGTGTGTTTGTTTGTTTGTTTTTCTTGTGTGTTTTTCGAGGCAGGGTTTCTCTGGCTTTGGAGGGTGTCCTAGATCTACCTCTTACAGACCAGGCTGGTCTCGAATTCACAGAGATCCACCTGCCTCTGCCTCCCGAGTTCTGGGATTAAAGACGAGCACCACCACTGCCCGGCCTGGCCCTCATTTTTACCTGTACTTCATGGCTGCCAAAATAATCTCATTATATGGTGAATGTTTGGATCTTGGCGGTTTGGATTGTTGCTGCTCCCTTATTACTATGAGAAAACCAGAACTCTGACAGACTTACTTACTATTTGTTTGTTTGTTTATTATTTTAAGACAGTGTCTCACTTTGCAGTAAACCTGAAATGCAAAGAGACTGGCCTACTTCTGCCTTCCGAGCGATAGGATTTAAGTTGTCTTCCACCACACCTAGTATTTAAAACCTTTTGACATTAAGTTCATCCATAGATTCTGCCTCCCAAGTTCTGCTTCTTTGCTATACAAAATTGTGGGACTGCATCATGGATCCTAGATCCTTAGCTCAACAGAGCTTATTAGAATACAATTTGAGGGGCTGGAGAGATGGCTCAGTGGTTAAGAGCACTGACTATTCTTTTAGAGAACCCTGGTTCAATTCCCAGCACCCACATGGCAGCTCACATCTGTCTGTAACTCCAGTTCCAAAGCATCTGGCACCCTTACACAGACATACTTGTAGGAAAAACACCAATGCACACAATAAATAAATAAAATTACATAAAAAAAGAATACAGTTTGATAAGACCAAACTACAGAAAAGATGAATCCAGTGTCACTATTCTACCATTTTGGCATTTAGAAGCATAATTTTGCTTGTCACAAATTTTCTGTCTGAGATGCATATATTGATTCTGTGTGAAATGAACCGCAGCCTTGATCTAAAAAAGGTATATTTCTCTGTCCGGACTTTGAATTTACATCTTATGTGCCCTAAAAGTATATTGTTTCTGGGAATATGGTACTATCCTGTTTTCCCAGTTAGGTGGTGCATTTTTTTTGGGTATCCTCACTCCAGAAAGCATCTTACTGAATATCTGTGCTCCCTCATTTACAGCAGAAAAAAAATGGCGCAGTTCCCCTTGTATTCTTTGTATCCAGGAAAAGTACTCTACATATGGTAAATCTATTGTCATTTCAGGGTCTGTTGACATTCCAGGATGTGGCTGTGGACTTCACACAGGAGGAGTGGGAATGCCTGGACTCTGCTCAGAGGACTTTGTACATTGATGTGATGTTGGAGAATTACAGCAACCTGGTCTCTCTGGGTGAGGATATTTTTCTCGCAGAATTTGTAACTTATCCTTGGTTTATGCCTACTTTGTAGGGGTGGAGACTCACTGGGTAGCTGTCTTAGAAACTGTAGGAAATGAGGTAATACTAATTAATGCTTCTCCCTGGTGTTTGATGTCTTCTTCCTGTTTTCCCTTTTGGGGGCATTATGAAGCCTTCCTTTTAGGTAGGTCTACAAAACATTCAGAGAGACCCAGTAGCAGGCGTTTCCATGCACATCCGGAAGTGTCATTTCCATCAGGGTTGTGGATTCATTCAGAAACTGATTATGTTCCCAGCCCCATCCTTACGTTTCCATTGTGGCATTTGATACTCACCGAAGCAGATAATATTCCTACCAAATCCTCAAGTTCCGTTTCCATCATTGCGTTTGACTTAGTCTGAATGGGAAGCAGAACTCAGTCTGCAAAACTGAAAATGCTCCCTAGGTCTTTCTTATGCTGTCTTTATTTTATTTTATGCATGGGTGCTAGCCTGCGTGTACACGAGTGCTCAGGCTGCCCAACTAAGCCATCAGAAGGAAGCAAAGGCCCCCTGAATCTGAAGTTACAGAGGGGTGTGAACTTTCCACAGGTGCTGGGAATCAAAACTGGGTCCTTCTGACCATTGAGCCATCTGGTTAGGACTTCATAAATATATTTTTAAGATTCTTATATGAAATAATGGCTGGTGAATCATTTCTAGCGTCTTCTACTGCGTTATCTCTTTAAGATATTATGTTCGATAGAATCCAGCAAAATCATGTACCTCTTTCTAATACACAGGTATTATTTCGTGCAAGGCAGACCTGGTCCCCTGTCTAGAGCAAATCCAAATGGCCTGCAATGTGAAGAAAGAGGAGATGGTGGCCAGACCAGGTAGGGATGAGTGAATGAAAAGACGGAAGTGACGGACTTAAGTGAAAGAGGGAGAAAAATCAGAAAATGGTTTTGCCATGTTCTGTCCCACTAGAGGCAATTCTAGATTACTTAGCAGGGTGTTCTTAAGATGTGCCTTACTGGCGGGGCGTTGGTGGCACACGCCTTTAATTCCAGCACTCGGGAGGCAGAGGCAGGCGGATCTCTGCCAGCCTGGTCTACAGAGCGAGTTCCAGGACAGACTCCAAAGCCACAGAGAAACCCTGTCTCGGAAAACCTAAAAAAAAAAAAAAAAAAAAATGCGCCTTACTGTCAGTGTCAGAAGACATTGTTCTTATCCCGCAGGTACTATCTTCAAAGTACTGTAGAATGCAAATGCATTCTTATTTGACTATGAGGGAGAGGGATTCCGTCTCAGTAACCATCCTTGTTTTCAATTATCTGTCTTCAGGCCAATAATACATGGTTTTCATTGCTATTGTTTGTTTGTTTTTTGAGACAGGGTTTCTCCAAGTAGCCCTAGCTGTCCTGGAGCTCCATTCCTTGAATAAGCTGGCCTTGGACTTCTAATCTGGATCTCATTCCAGTTTTAGTATAAGTGCTCTCTGAGCACGATGGGATATTGTCTTGGTCACTATTGCTATGAAGCAACACCATAGCCAAGGGAACTCAGTGTAAAAGAAAGCGTGTAATTGGTGGTTTGTGTATAGTGTCAAAGCGTTAGTCTGTTATCATGGTGGGGAACAGAGTGGCAGGCTGTGGATGGCTTGGTGCTGGGAGAGAAGCTAAACACTTTACATTGTTCTCCAAAGTCAGCAAGCAGAGTGACATCTGGCCTGGTGTTGGCTTTTGAAACCTTAAAGTATACTCCCAGTGATACTTTTGCAACAAGGACACACCTCCTATCCTTCCTCAGTCCATCCACTGAGGGCTAGGCATGCAAATAGATGAGCCTGTGCAGGGCATTCTCCTTCAAACCACCACAGAGATCGGTTTAAAATGTCTTCAGTATTTCGTATCCTCAGATTGGAAGTGGATTTATGGAAGGAAATGTGTATTTTAATCTTCTTTTGTTGTTGCTGTTTTTGTTTTGTTTCTATTCTTTTTCAATTTATTTTCATTTTTATGTACCTATGTATGTAATTTATTTACTCCTGTTTTCGGTACATTGGTGTTTTGCCTGCATGTAGTCTATGCGAGGGTGTCAGATCTTGGAGTTTCAGACAGTCGTGAGCTACCAAATGGGTGCTTGGAATTGAACCCAGGGCCTCCGAAAGAGCAGTCAATGCATGTAACCGCTTAGCCATCTTTCCAGCCCCAAATGTGTATAATTTCTATGTCTGGGGGCCTTGTCTGCGTGTGTATCTGTACACTACTTGTGTATTTGATGCCCCTGCATGCCCTGGAGCTGGAGCTGGAGAAGGGTGCAGCTGCCACGTTTGTGCTGCACATTCAGCCTGGGTTCTCTCGAACAGCACCCTATATCCTTACCCACTGAGCCATCATCTCTCCAGCCACTCTCTCAGGTTTTGAAGCATTTTGCATCAAAGATACTTTACTTTGAAAGTAAAGCACCTACTAGCACTTTTTGCAGAGCTTTCTGTATGTCTCATAACTCTTAGTAACGTCTATACTTTTCATATGAATTCTTACTGTTTTCATTTCATTATAAATTTCAGGCATGATCTTTTATAATTATGTTTACATACTACAGGACTTGCCGAAGCCAGACCTGAAAGTATTTCAACTGGTGTAAAGTGATTTCATATAGAAACATATCCAGGGTCTGGAGAGATGGTTTAGTGGTAAGAGCACTTGCTGCTCTTCTAGAGGACCAGGGTTCCATTTCCAGCGCCCACATGGTAGCTCACAACTGTCTGTAACTCCTGTTCCAGGGAATCTGTAGATAGATAAAAGCACATCCATCTACAATCTACACACTTCCTGGTCTCCAGTGTCTGTGGCACTGATATTCTGACCAAGATGCACTACTGTCTCACTGTTCCTATTTTATACTGTGGGAATTAGTCCTGTGTTCATCCTTGAGACAGTGACAAAATGGTTGTTTTTTCTGGTGACTCTCATAGTTCCGTATTCAGTTTTCTGAGCCCTGTTTCTGCTGTTGACTTGAAACCTGCCATGTTCCAGTTGTCTCTCCTCCTCCATCTCACACAGAATTGGTTGCTTTTCTTGGATTTCCTCTCATTTTATTAGTCTAATTAGGGAAGGAAAAATTGTCTGAAAATAATATCCAAGAAATGATCATCCTTGTTTCTTACTTACCTAAACTTAATGTCTTATTCTAACGTTGTGGCAAGCTCCTAACTATTTTAGAGATCTTGCTGAATAATGTTGTCGGTAAATGTTGGTTTTGTTATGTACCATATGCTAGCATGAGATAAGAAATTTTCTATATTGCCACCTTGCTAATGTCCTCAGGTTGGAGTGATGTTGTAGATTGTAAGTCTAACATGAGTCCATGAAGTAAGATAGCTCTGTAATTTCCTTTCTTGTAGCTGTGCCTTGATATTACATGTAGTGGCTTTCTCCATGTGAAAACACACAAAGATCCTTCCAGAAAATAATCCTATATCAGTGAAAGTAATGACCTTGAGAATTTCTATTTAAGTAAAGACAGGGAACACAGGGCCGAGTCTGTAGATATCAAACAGTATAGGGTTTGAAATAAAAAGTGCATAACATCCCTGCCCCATTTGATCTACAGCCTTGGATATTTAGCAAAAAATATTTTCTTTATGTTCATTACTTTCAGTGATTTTAATGTGTCTTTAAGAAAAAAAAATGTCTATGGAGATGTTTTGAGATGGGATGTCTCTACATAGTTCTGGCTGTTCTAGGACTCGCTATGTAGATCATGCTGACATATCTGTCTGATAAATTCTGGGATTAGAGTCATACTTCACCACACCTAGCTCTATGTATCAAGAAAATTTTTAAACTTAAAAGAAATTTAAATATTCTGAGCAAGGAAGGATGTGCATAGCAGTATACTTACTAAGTGGAGATATTTTGAATTTAATGTTAAATAGTTCTACAATATTTTGGGAGGGGAAATTAGGCAAAGTAACATATTCAAATGGAATCCCAAAGTTTACTCTTGTTTCTTCCACTATGTGTCCAACTTTTTTCGCAAATGCAGTTTAGATGAGGATAAAAAGGCTGTTATGTGTGATGGAGATCAGAGTGGAGGTTCTCTGAGCATCCATTCAGTGGCTTCCTGAGAGCTCTGTTCTAAGAATTACATTTACTTACCTCAGAGAACTCAGATACTGACTCTGTTTTAGCATGCATCAAACCCTATTAGCCCTAATTGTGCTCATTTTCCAGAGAACCATCAGATGTGCAGTAACTCAGAGGAGGTCTTGGATCAAGACTCAAAGCGTATTGTCTATGAGCATGTGGCTATTCAACCAAAGTCGTGTAAATGTAATGAACTTGACAAAATGATTGGATCGTCCACATGGACACTGTGCAAAACAAATAATACTACAGAAAACTGCTACAAATACAGATGCATACAATACCACGGGGATGAGTGTACTGAGTCAGTCATCTTCAGTAGACAAGAGAATGCGCACACTGGAGAAGAACCTTGCAAATGTAAAGATCTTGGCAAATCTTTAAGTTTGTTTTCAAACATAAGTCAGAGTCATGGAATCTACCCAGGAAATAAAGAGTATAAAAACAGCGAATGTCATAAATCTTTTGGCTTTCCCCCAAAACTTGTACAGCTAAACATCCCTAATGAAGAAAAACCACACCAATTTGGGAAATGTGGGAAATCCCTCAGGACCTGCTCAAGCCTCAGTATACATCAGAGAGCTCATACTGGAGAGAAACTATGGAAATGCACAGAATGTGACAAGTCATTTAATTGCTTGTCTGACCTTAAAACCCATTACAGAATCCATCCTGGAGAGAAACCATTCAAATGTAAGAAATGTGACAAATCTTTTACCTGCTACTCATCTCTTAAAGAACATCAAAACATCCATGAGGGAAAACTTCACAAATGTCAGGCATGTGACAAATCCTTTACCTACTTCTCATCTCTTAGAGAACATCAGAACATCCATGACGGAAAAGTTTACAGATGTTGGAAATGTGACAAATCCTTTACCCGATGCTCATCTCTTAGAGCACATGAGAAAATTCACACTGGAGTAAAACCTTTCAAATGTAAGGAATGCAGTAAGTCTTTTTATATGCTGTCTCAACTTAGAAAACATGACAGAATCCACACTGGAGAGAAGCCTTTCAAATGTAGGGAATGTGACAAGTCTTTTTCCTACTGCTCATCTCTTAGAGAACATCAGAACATGCATGCTGGAAAACTTTATAAATGTCAGATATGTAACAAATCCTTTACGCGGTGCTCAACTCTTAGAACACATGAGAAAATTCATACTGGAGAAAAACCTTTCAACTGTAAGGAATGTGGTAAGTCCTTTTATACATTGTCCCAACTTAGAAAACACAACAGAGTCCACACTGGAGAGAAACCTTACAAATGTAAGGAATGTGACAAATCTTTTACCCAGTGTTCAACTCTTAGGATACATCAGAAAATTCATGCTGGAGAGAAACCCTACAAATGTCAAGAGTGTGGCAAGTCCTTTTATAAGTTGTCTTACCTTAAAGTCCATTACAGAACCCATACTGGAGAGAAGCCGTACCAATGTAAAGTGTGTGGTAAGGGCTTTTCTCAGTTGTCCTGTCTTAAAAGCCATGACAGAATCCACACAGGAGAGAAACCTTACAAATGTAGTCAGTGTGACAGATCCTTTACACACTGCTCAACTTGTAGGAGACATCAGAGCACTCATGCTGCAAAACTTTATAAATGTGAGGAGTGTGACAAGTCCTTTGCCAAACATTCGTCTCTCAGAACACATCAGAAAACCCACGCAGGAGAGAAACCTCATGGTTGTAAAGAATGTGGTAAGGCCTTCTATCAACTCTCCCACCTTAAAGTCCATTACAGAATCCACACTGGGGAGAAACCTTACAAATGTTATGAATGTGAGAAATCTTTTACCAAATGTTCGTCTCTCAGAACACATGAGAAAATCCATGCAGGAGAGAAGCCTCATGGTTGTAAAGAATGTGGTAAGGCTTTCTATCACTTATCACACCTTATCATCCATTATAGAATCCATACAGGAGAGAAACCATACAAATGCAGCGAGTGTGACAAGTCCTTCACCACATTGGCAAACCTTAGACGACATCAGAAAATTCATAGTGGAAAGAAAACTTCCCCCAGTAAATAAGGTGCCGAGTGCTTTTCCCAGAGCTCAGTCTGTAGGGACTACTGTAGTCTCCACACCAGGGAAATCATTTTGAACTTGAGAAACTTGTGAAATCTTAAGAAACATCAAGAGTTCATAGTGAGGGAAAATTCTGAATATGCACAAAGTACATTTTGTTGTTGTTGTTGGTTTTTCGAGACAGGGTTTCTCTGTATTGTTTTTGGAGGCTGTCCTGGAACAAGCTCTGTAGACCAGGCTGGCCTCGAACTCACAGAGATCCGCCTGCCTCTGCCTCCTGAGTGCTGGGATTAAAGGTGTGAGCCACCAGCACCCGACCCATTTTTACCTTTTCTACCTCAAAAAATTCATACTGAAGACAATATGTGTTGATCTAAAGAATGTCACCAAGCCTTTAATAATTCGCTGAAATGTCATGCAGCAGAAAATTCTTGTCAGAGAGAAATCATACATTTACTACTGTTCTGTATTCACGCCACATTGCACATTTAGAAATGCCGCTCTAGGGAACCCAAAGAAATGAACTTAATTTGTTAAAGTCTTTACCTAGTGCTAAAACAGTAGACATCTGAAAATTCTTCCTGAAGGAAAACCTAAGAAAATGCTTTACAAAAGACTTTTTTTTCACCTTCAAAATATTCATTGTGGAATGAAAACCTATCAATAGCAATATGGTGGGAACTTTCTAGAGGTGATCTTGCAACTGTGACAACATGTATGCTCATGCACAGCTAGAAAATACCTAAGGTGTGCAGGATAATTATTTTTCAGTACTCTAGAAAGTTGGGAAAGTACTTAGTGAAAATGCAGAGTATAGTGATAATAGAAGATTCATATACAAATACTAAACACAAACCAGTGTATTACAAAGAAGAAAGCTAACCAAACACAAAGTTGTCGTGTTTTTCAGTGGAATATGATTTTTCAAATTGAGTAAATAGGAAAATGTTCTTTGGAGACATTTTTGTATTTTAAGCATTGACATGACATAAGTTCAGTCGGTTAGATTACACTGAAAAGCATCATTCACATTAGAAAATGATTATATGATAATTTGTGGTAATTGTTGTTGCATCAGAGCTGATTAACCCAAGACAAGAGTCAGGAAAGTTAGGTAGGAACTGGTTACTAATCATCAGTGGACACCAAAGATCTGGACAGACTTCTTATGCCAATTCTAGATGCACTGTAACTCAGAACTCTAGTGCACAGAGATACTGTGCAGACCAAAGCCCCTTTGTTTGATGACTTTTCATGACAGTTCATGACAGTTCCAGTGCCAAGAATGTGTACATTTTGTGCATGTGAAGACAACTTTTTAACCTCTTGTTCGTTCCAGATCATTTAAAGATAATTCTGCCGAGTAGTGGCACAGGCCTGTTATCCCAGCACTCAGGAGGCTGAGGCAAGGAAGATCTCTGTGAGTTAGTTCCAGGACAGCCAAGGCTACACAGAGAAACCCTGTCTAGAAAAACAAATTGAAGTCGAGTAAGGTAGAACAGACCTATCATTAGATACTAATTTGTTGATTGATCTAGTGGTTTGCTTTAAAACATTTTGTGTCCTGCTTATTGCCAAACAGTTTTGCCTTCCTACCTGGATCAGAAGGCAACCGAGAAAGGGGAAATGCCTGAAACACTACGTTTTTGCCTTTAGTAACCACACCACAAAGGCATGGAACACATGCATTTGAAAAGCAAAAGCCCCCAGCTATCTGCCGTTAAAATCCCACTTGTTTGCTTGCTAGCCCTACCTAATGTAGAGTGTAAAATAAGAATACAAATGTAGGAACTGTCCCGGCTTCAGTTTCTTTTTCCACTCAGTGGTGTTGGAGTACTCATGTGAGAGAGATTCAACAGCATCCTTTCTGCCAGGAATGATTAATGCCCCAAGAAGAATGTATTACTACTGTACCACATATGCAGATTTGAGCTTTCTTGAGTAGTGGTAAGAATGCACTTATGCGTGAGGTTGGGCATGCTTCCATTCCCCAAAGAAAGCTACTTTCCTCAATATTAGCTTTATTTATTTTTTTAGACAGAGTTTCTCTGTGTAGCCCTGGCTGCCCTGGAACTCTCTGTGTAGGCTAAGGTAGCCTCAGACTCAGAGATCTGCCTGCCTCTGCCTCCCAAGTACTGGGATTAAAGGTGTGCGCCCCCACTGCTTTCTTGAATATTTACGAGAGAACAGTTTAGGATCTAGGTGTGGATTTTAGCCCATATTTAATTCCAACTCTAGGTGGAAGAAGGCAGAGCTCTTAGGTTTGAGGCCAGCCAGGGCTACCTAGTGAGACTTGTTCAAGATAAAAACAAACAAAAAAGCATAACTACTTGTTGAAAAACCTTGGCAAAGCCATTTAATTGGTGAATACCAGCTTTATATAGTAACAATTCCTGGATGCCTTCCATAAGAACTATTTGGAGAAAATAAATGCAGGTATCAGAGGAAAGTTAAAATTGTTCTTCGAAAACCTGTGTTGTACTGCGTGCACCAACAAAACTTACATTTTTGTCTTTTCTTCGTAAATGCTGAATAGTTCCTCTGTTTTCCGTTTCTTAGTACCATTTCTCCAATTCCTGTAAGCTGCATTTTGTTATAAAATCACATCAGGTGTGTTTTTCAAACTCTGTAATTGGGCTTCTTAATAAAGAAGACATTTATTTTTAATGATTTTGGGTGAACTTCAGTGATTTACGTGTGATATAACCTTGGGTCTGAACCTCTCACATGTTATTTAAGCTTGGGAAAGAAAAGGTAACTGCATTTCTTGAGGCAGGGTCTCACCATACAGCTCTGACTGTCCTTGAACTCACTATGTAGGCCAGGCTGGCCTCGAACTCCCTGAGATTAAAAGCGCACCACAACGCCTGTCCTGCAAGTTTTTGCATACTATGCAAACCTCAAAATTTTCATAATATTATCAAAGTTCATATTTCCTGTTTCAGACACAATGATGAATACATTATTAGTCAGATTCAGGTTGCAATTACAGTCCTCAAGGCAACACTTTCCTTTTCACATAACCATTGTGACGGTCACCTGATCATAGAAATTTGTCTTTTCTTGTGGATTTAAGGAAGTGTTTTGTAAAGACATTGCACTCTGGGTTTTAGGTGTGAGGTAGCATTGGTGGAAATTGTGCGTGTGTGAATCTCTTCTGACCTAAGGAAAACAAGCGACTGCTCCCAGTGGGTGCTGTGCGGCTGAGCTCCCCTTTCTGTGCAAGAGAAACTGTTGAGACAGCTAAAAAAAAAAAAAAAAAAAAAAAGAGGCGGTGCTCACTGGTCCAGGCTTACTGCCATACTCCTTGGTCCCATTGATAGGACTCATGGACAGTGGTACCTTGAATGAGAATGGCCCCATGGGCTCATGTATTTGAATGTTTGGTGCCCAGTTTGATGAGCAGTTTTGGGAAGATTAGGGGATATGAACTTGTTCGATGAGGTGTGACACTTGGGGGGACAGGCTTTGCCGTTTCAAAAGCTCCTGCTAATTGGCTTTTTCTCACTCTACCTGTACCTGTGGATCAGGAGGTCAATCTCAGCTGCTGTTCCAGAGCTGTGCCTGTGTTAATCCCACCAATCGAGAATAAGACCACTACTGCAGTTTAAAGCCAAATTTAAAGCAAGCTTTAATAAATATTGGCCAGGTAGATAGGCTCTGATCGAGTCCATAGCCAGGTTCCTGGGAAAATGACCCAGAATCTTAGTTTGTATCAGCTTAAGAAGGAAAACCCTAAATTCATTGCATTCCTCATGAGGTCCAATCGGGCAAGCATATATCCTGACATACCTCCAGTCTGTGAATCTCCTGCCTAAATGTGATCAAAAACAACTGCCTGCTGTAATGCTCCCCACCATGATCATGAACTCTAACCCTCTGGAAATATAAGCAAGCCCACCAGTTATCAAATAACCAACACAGACATTTACCATTATAAATGTTCAGCCAATAGCTCAGGCTTATTACTAACTAGCTCTTACAACCTAAATTAACCCATTTCTATTTATTTATTGCCATGTGGCTCATGGCTTTACTGTCCTCCAACATCTCTTGCTCCCTCTCAATCTACTGGTGTCTCTTCTGACTCTACCCTTCTTTGCCCATCATCCTCTGTATTTGGATGTCCCACTTATACCTCTACCTGTCCAGCTATTGGCCAGCCATCTT